TGACCAAATCTCAGTGCTTAATACTTTATAGACGAATGCAGGGTACTAAATACTGTGCTGCAAGTTTGAACGCCCAGGCTCTACCATTCTCAAAGGGACTTTTCTCCATGTGAGGAACTCTGGAATCTGACTTGGGTCTGGAACTATGAACAGGATAGGAATCTCACAGGCAGGCAGTCCTCTTTCTTGACAATGGCTACTGAGCCGTAGCAGCCTCAAAGGAGTTACCCGGGGGGCCCCAATAAGGTTCTAGAAAGAGAGCGATTTCCTTGACACCCTCTCTGAGAGGTCAGGACAATTCCTGGAAAACTAGGGTGAAGGTGTGCAACTGGGGTTTCCTGTAGTCAGTCAGGTTTTTTTTTTTTTTTTACTATTTATAACTCCACATACACAAGGAGCAGTAGAGTCTCTTCCCATACCCCTGGCAGACGGAAATGAAAGCCTGCCCAAGCTCTGCTTGTGATTCAGGCTGGCAATCTGCCTAGCTCAGTTCAGTACTCCAGAAACAGATTGGAGATGGAGTTAGAAGGGCAAGAGATTTATTGGAAGGTGAACCAGTAACCAGTTGCCACGACCCACATCATGTGTTTCACAGTAGAACTGCATTCCATAGGATTTTCAATGGCTATGATCTTTCAGCAGGAGATCACCAGGCCTTTCTTCTGAGGTGCCTCTGGGTGGACTCTAACCTCCAACCTTTCTGTTAGCAGCCAAATGCATTAATTGTTTGCACCACCCAGCGACTGTTAAAGATAGAGGAGGAAGTCAGATTGGGCAGGGAAAGCCTGCAGACCATGAAGCAGATCTGATACCTATGAAAGGAGGAGCAAACCTGGAGAACTTCAAACTGCAAACGAGATGCAGCTAAGCCTGGGCTCCTCCATGAGAATCACCAAAGTAAAGATTGCCGGTTAGGGAAGTCCAGCATTGGCTGGGGATGGCCCGGGGGAGTGAGACCTCCGCTCCAATGCTACGACAGAGTCTGAAAGTGCGGCAGGTGGAGGCTGTCAGTTAACTAACTCCTTGCAGCTGAACAGCAAGTTCTTTCTTGGAGGGAGAGCCAAGGGTGCGTCTCTGTGGCCACCACACCACCCTAGTTAAAGGAAAAAGTGTTCATGTTTAAGATCCCCTTTCTGTTGGTGTTGAAGATCCCCTTTGTGTTCCTTGCAGCCCTGTTGGTTCAGTGGTTAAGAGCACGGCTGCTAACCGAAAGGTCGGCAGTTCAAATCCACCAGCTACTCCTTGGAAACCCTATGGGGCGGTTCTACTCTGTCGTGTAGAGTCGTTATGAGTCGGAATTGACTCAACGGCAGCAGGTTTGATTTGGTTTTGTGTTCCTTAGTCCTCTCTGATGAAGCTGTGATTAGATCTCATTTCAAAGAAAAACAATGTTTCCTATTATATATTATTGAAACCCATGTAGAAATTTTGTCCTTTTGAAAAAATTCTCTTTATGGTTCATATGCTAATACTAATTAGGTACACTTTGTAGTTTTCTAATATTTGTAGCTAACTACAGGAAGAGATGACAAATAATTTAACAAAATTCAGGAGAAACAGTGAGACTCCTTTGAAGTTCTAATCAATGTCCTACTGAAAGCTGGGTAACAGAAATCTTGACCTTTTTAAAAAATGAAAACAATTAATTTGTATTGATTTCCTACATATAACAGAACATGGGTGTTTGATGTACAAAGGCCATCAAGTATGCTAATGGGTTGAGTTGCAAAAATAGACTTCTCCTCATACAGAGGCTATCTTAAGGCCATGAAAAAACCCACATGATATTGCACACTTTGACTTATTTTTAAGAAATCAAATAATTATTGTAACACAACTTCTATGAATAATGTCTTCCTTCAAAGTCCTATGAACCATGATGTGGTAATTTTTAAGAAGTTCTACTATTCCTGAAAGGCAATATATTTCCCTTTCTCTACTATCCTGGATTTTCCAACTTGTTCTTAATGAATGTGGGTTACTTTCAAAGAAAAATATTAAATAAGAAAACAAAGCAAAAATAAAATAATCTCTATGATCTCCAGTTTGTGTTGTTCAGTAAAGGCAACAGTCACATTATCTGCCATTTGGTGAAACTATGTAATAAACTGCACCAATAGAAGGTACTTTAATCTGAGGTTTAAGAACCACTGATGTAGTATTAAAAGCCTTTCTTTGGAAGAAGTACAGCCAAAATACTCCTTAGAAGCGAGGATGGCGAGACACCATGTACTTCGGACATGTTATCAGGAGACACCAGTCCCTGGAGAAGGATATCATACTTGGTAAAGCAGAGGGTCAGCAAAAGAGAGGAAGACCCTCAACGAGATGGATTGACACAGTGGCTGCAACAACGGGCTCAAACATAGCAGTGATCAGCGTTTCATCCTGTTGTACATAGGGGCACTATGATTTGGAAGCCACTCAATGGCACCTAACAACAGCAAGCTACACACACACACACCCTTCGATGACTCAGTCTTTTTTCCCCCTTAACATTATATTTGAAATTCATTCCTGCTGATGTATGCTAGTAGAGATCATTTTCACTGCTGAAGAATAGGTCACTGTATGAAAAATTTTCAATTTATCCAGTCAATTGGTGGACATTAGGGTTGTTTCAGCTTTTTTTTTTCCCCCCAGGTACAAATAATACTTCCATGAACATTCTTTTTATTGTTCTCCCTGGTATATTTGAACAAGCATTTCTATAGGGTGGAATTCTTGGTTGCAGGGAATGCATGCCCGAAAATTGATCAGGTAATGACACATTATTTTCCAGGTGGTTGTACCAATTTATACTCCTGCTTTAATTTCTTGAGAGTTCTTCTTGCTCCCTGTCCTCCCCAATTCTTACTGTTAGGCCTGTACACTCTACCAATCTAGTGGGTGTAAAAGGTTATCAAAGTGTGGTTTTAATTTGCATTTTCCTCTAAAAGTTTTAAAATTTTGGCTTTCTCATTTAAGTCCCTGGCCCATCTTAATTTGATTTTTGTGCATGAGGTTATATACTTACCTGTTTTTTGAAATTTTCCTTATACTTCTCCTGTTTAAAAAGAACTTCCAAAGAGGGACTTTTATTCTTTTTTTTTGAGGACACCCAATGGATTTATCGAAGAATATGAATACATACAGAGAAGTACATTTTCTAAAGAATAAGAGCACTGTGAGGTTCTATGGATAATGATGGACTTGTATAAAGTTCTACTGGTTCACATGTGGCCAGAAACTGTTGGAAATTTAGTAATTTTGCTTCCTATGCCCTATAAAAAGGTCAGGATTAGATCTATAATTACAATTTATGGCATGCATAAACATAATTCACAAAGTAGATAAGTGTCCAACCATGAAATTATGGTCACTGGATCCTTCTTATTTAAATAGCTGAGACATTTGAGATTTTAAAACTTAACACTTAATATTAAGTAAGACATACTGAATATGGCACAAAATAAATTATAAACTATTTTAGAAAGTCTGAAGCATAATCTCAACTGTATGATTTCTACCTTCGTAGTAGAACTACTTCAATTCTAAAATGTGTGCTTGGTAAAGGATGAGGAAAGAGAGAGAATACACAGAGGATCTTCAAGGTTTTTAAAAATTATTTAACATACGTAGTACATGAAAATAACATAAATCCACATAAATACATTATATTTGCATGGAAAATTTTATTAAATAATACAATTCTTCCCTTTTTTGTTGACTTCTACCAGCTTCTTTAAACTGCTTCCTATGAAACACTATTCAAAACGTGTTAGATTTTTATGAATGTTAGATGTTACATCTCTTTCCTTCTCTGCCCCATACTTACACTAAAACAAATTATTTGAAAAAGGTAAAATAAATAAAATGTGGCATGCTTTCTTAGCTGTTTTGTATCCTGTATTAAAATATTTCACAATATGAAAGCTGAAAATAATTTTATTGGTTTTTCTGTACATATATTAATATACTTCTATTGAACATATTATTAACTAATAAGCTCTTCGCTGTTTTTGTTGAAGTCTACCAACTTAAAAAAATGTTTCCTATGAAAACATCATCCAAAACGTGTTATTTTAATGTTTATAAACATCAGGTATTACACATCTCTTTTCCTTCTATGTTGCGTACTTAACACCAAAACTAATTATTTGAAAATGGTAAAATAAGTAAAATGTGGGATGCTTTCTTAGTTGTTATGTATCCTGTATTAAAATACCTTACAAGTATAAAAGTTGAAAAGTAATTTAATTGTTTCATATACAATTTTCTACCTATTATAAATGAATTAGTTTATGGAATTAAGTCATTTGCCATCTCAGTACAAGAATATAAGGGCATTATTACAACTCTGCGATGACTGATTTAAAGTATATACACATTAAAATACTACAAATGTGGCATATTTAGTATTTATCAAGCAGAAAACAGTGTTTATCTTTGCATTTGGCAACAATATCTTATAAATAACTACTACTTTCAAAGCATTATTATTGGGTAAGTTTTATGAAGAGGATTTCTGAAATGTCACCTTCCTCATCCAAAACCAAAAATAAACGAGGAATTAAAAATATGTTATTACAAAAGATGGTGGCTGGAAAGAAAGATGACATGCAATAAGATACAGGGCTATCAAGATGAAAATGCCTTTGCTTCGTTCAAGATCTAGAATCTTAAGCAAAACCTCATTTGATGAGTTTAACCAGATTTTCTTCTCTGATTATGTTAAACCCCAAATTTACATACATTTTCTTTAAAACTTTAAGATGAACATTTGTTTAAGCCATATGAAATCATTTAATCATTTATATGTCAAACTTAATAAGGCTGAAATTCAATGGAAAACAATGAAATAATTTACCGTGCAGTAATCATAAAAACTTTAACTGATTTTTATTATCTTCTTTTTGGGCATCCCTTATTAAAGCTTGTGATTTTTATTGTAAATAAGCAAAAAAGTGATTGTTTTCAACATACTTCTTTGCACCACAGTGTAATGGGTGGTCTCAATCTCAGTTAACCTTCAGTACTCTGTACATACTATTTTGAAAGACTGTGGTGAAGTAAGGCCTCCCATCCTTAAGCAAGATGCTACATAGAGGAGGGTTAGCTGCATTGGAAGGATCTTCCACATCCCAAATTTCAAGCATACTGCAACCAGGTCTTAAAAAAAAGAGACACATATATATTAACAATGCATTCACATCTAGAGGAAATGTATAAATTATAAGGGATTTCCTAGATTTTAAGATATAATTCATAAAGTGAAGATTTTCATGTATTTCTAAAGATATGAATTCAAAATTTAGAAACAATAAAATGAAAATAAAAAGAAAAACAATACAAATGAAAATAAGTACGTTGCATTTTCATGTCCCATTGAACTGAATAATGAGACATGTCCTGATAATAAAGGTTCAATGCACATCCAGAAATACACTTAAAAATTCACTTTCAAAATGAAATATTTATTTCACTTTTTAAGTGGCATCATCATCCAAACATCAGACCTAGTAGTGCAAAACAAACCAAACCAAACTCGTTGCCGTCAAGTCGATTCCGACTCATAGAGACCCTATAGGACTAAGTAGAGCTGCTCCATAGGGTTTCCAAGGAGCGCCTGGTAGATTCAAACTGCCTATCTTTTGGTTAGCAGTTGAGCTCTTAACCACTTTCCCAGTAGTGCAAAGAGACAAATTAAATAAAAGTTAAAGTAATTCCTGATGAATAAATTGACTTGGATATGGATGAAAACATACATCCAAGACAGGAAAGGGAGGCTCTTATGCCAATTTTGTTCTCAATCCTTTCTTTTTTGGGTGGCTCTGTGAGTGGGCATGAATGAGACAGTATGTCTCCCTAGAGAACAACCCTGCGTGAGAGTCATTAAAGGGAAGGAGTTAGGCAAAATTGGCTTCTAATTTTTTAACAGCTATATTGAAGTATAATTTACATACAATAAAAGCCACGTGCTTCCTGGGTAAAGTTTGATAAGTATGGGCAAATGTGTGTAGTTATGTAAGCACTGCTACAATCGTGACACAGAACACGTCTACCATCCCATTAAATTCCCCATGCCCTTTTGCAGCCAATCCCCATCCCCAAATCTGGCCCCAGGCAACCAGTGATCTCCTTTCTGTCACTAGAGTTTTGCCATTTCTAGAATTTCATGTAATTAGAATTATACATTATGTATGTTTTTATTTCTGGCTTCTTTACCTTAGCATAGGAGCCCTGGTGGCACAGTAGTTAAAGTACTCAGCTACTAACTGAAAGGTCAGCAGATCAAACTCGGCAACTGCTCCTTGGGAGAAAGATGTAGCAGTCTGCTTTCATAAAGGAAACCCTATGGGGCAGTTCTCTACTCTGTCCTACAGGGTAGCTATGAGTTGGAATCAACTTGCTGGTTTTTTGTTTCTGTTTTTGTTTTTTTTTTAACCTTAGCATGTTTTTGAGATTCATACCTTACATGTTATAATTCCTACAACTTCCACTGTAGTTTAGTAGTTCTTTTGTTTTTATTGCTGAATGGTATTCCATTGTATGGAGATACCACAATTTGTTCACAAGTAGATGAACATTTAAGATATTTTGAGTTTTTGGCAATTATGTACAATGCTGCTATGAACATTCATGGGCAAGGCTTTGTGTGGACAAACATCATAATTTCCTTTAGGGAAATACCTAGGAGTATTGTATGGTAAGTGGTGGCACAGCAGTTATTTTGCAACCAACAGGTCAGCAGTTCAAATCCACCAGCCGCTCCCTGGAAACCCTATGGGGCAGTTCTACTCTGTCCTATAGGGTCACTCTGAATCAGAACTGACTCGATGGCAACGGGTTTTTTTTTGGTGTACTGTCTGTTTAAACATTTAATCAATTTTAATTGTGTTGTCGTCTTATTGACGTGTGGGAGTTTATTATACATTCTGAATAAAAGTCCTTTGTTAGATTTTTTTAGATTTGAGGCATAATTGCTCAAAAATTGCTTAATATTTTGCAAATATTTACAGTGTACAATTTGTTAAGTTTTGACTTATGTATACACCCATGAAACCATCACCACAAACAAAATAGTGGGCATATGCATTACTCCCAAGAGTTTTCTCATGTCCTTTTGTAATCCCACCCTCTTGCTTCTTGCCACCTCCCTCTCTCCCCAGGCAACCACTGATCTGCTTTCTGTAGCTACAGATTAGTGTGCTGTGCATTTTCTGAAATTATATTTTATGCATCCTTTTTTTGACAGGCTTCTTCCATTTAGCATAATTATTTTGCAATTCATCCATGTTGTGTGTATCAATAGTTCATTTCTTTTTATTGCTGAGTAATATTTTATTGAATGTATATTCCAACAGTGGAGCCCTGGTAGCACAGTGGTAAGAGCTTGCCTGATAACCAAAAGGTAAGCAGTTCGAATCCACTAGCTGCTCCTTGGAAAGCCTATGAGGGCAGTTCTACTCTGTCCTAAAGGGTCACTATGCGTTAGAATTGACTCGATGGCAACGGGTTTGGGTTGTTTCCAGTTTGGGGCGATTACAAAGATAAACTGTTATGAATATTTGTGTACAGTGTAAGTATGGTATGGATGTATGCTTTCTTTCATCTTAGGTAACTGTGTGTAGTAGGGTATGTTATACTTTTTATGAAATTGCCAAACTTTTTCAAAGTGGTTGTACCATATTACATTCCCACCAACAGTACAGGAGAGTTCCAGTTCCTCCAAAGCCTCAGCAACACTTCGTATGGTTAGTCATTTTTAATTTTAGACATCGTAGTAGGTGTGTAAGGAACCCTGGTGGTGCAATGGTTAAAGTGCTCAGCTGCTAACAGAAAGGTCAGTGGTTTGAACCCACCAGCTGCTCCATGGGAGAAAGACGTGGCAGTCTGCTTCCGTAAAGATTACAGCCTTGGAAATCCTATGGGGCAGTTCTCTGTCCGATAGGGTTGCTATGAGTCCGTATCGCCTTGATGGCAATGGGTAGTAGGTATGCAGTGGTATCTCACTGCAGTTTTAATTTACATTCCACAACTCACTAGTGATGCCGAGTATCTTTTCACGTGCTTATTTGCCATCTGAATGTTTTGTTGTTGTTGCTGTTGTCTTCTCACATATTTTGCCCATTTTTAACTGGGCTGTTTTCGCATTATCAGACATATGCTTTGCAAGTATATTCTCCCAGGCTATGGTTTAGCTTTTAATTTTCCCACAGTGTCTATGAAAGAGCAGAGTATTATAATTTTGATAAAGTCTTATTTATCAGTTTGTTCCTTTAAGAATCATGTGTATGGTGTTGTATCTAAGAAATTTTTGCCTAACCCAAGGTAATATCAATTTTCCTCTAGCAATTTTATATCTCTAGGTTTTACAGTTAGGTCTATTTCTCATTGTGAGTTAACTTTTGTATGTAGTGGGAGATATGAATTGAAGTGTCTTTTTTTTTCCCTTTTGTATAAAGATATCCAAGGTCCCTGAGTGGCACACAGTTAGTACTAGACCACAACCCTAAAGGTTGGTGGTGAGAATCCACCCAGTGGGTTCAGTTCTTTCGGTCTGAGAAATGCCAATTGTGTTCTTCCCTTTTGGTTTTTATCTCCAGGTCTTTGAACATTTCATCATAACACTTTACCTTGCCTTCTTGAGCCACTCTTTGAAATCTTCTGTTCAGTTCTTTTATGCCATCATTTCTTCCATTTGCTTTAGCTACTCTGTGCTTAAGAGCAAGTTTTAGAGTCTCTTCTGACATCCATTTTGGGCTTTTCCTTCTTTCCTGTCTTTTTAATGACCTTTTACTTTTTTCATATATGATGTCCTTCATGTTGTCCCACAACTCTTCTGGATTTTAGTCATTAGTGTCCAGTGTGTCAAATCTATTCTTGAAATGGTCTCTAAATTCAAGTGGGATGTATTCAAGGTCATATTTTGACTCTTGTGGACTTTCTTTGATTTTCTTTAGCTGCAACTTGAGCTTGTGCATATATAGATTAAAATTATGATGTTCCTGTTTTTTCTTTTGAAAGATGCCAATTTTTTCTAGTGTGGATAAGAACTTATTAGATATTAAAATTTTGGAACTTATTTTTTCTAAAATCTGTTATAGCCAATTCCAAATTATCCACAGGAAAAATGAAAGTTCTTAATGTTAAACTTAATGCAACTAAGAAGAGCCCTTAAGCCAAGGAGTCTAAGCAAAGACCTGAAGGGATCCATTAAACAGAATTGTATGATTTTTAGAAACTGTAAAGTTCAGGAATTTCAAAAATTTTAATTAGAAATGTTCTTCTTATATGTCTTTTTGAGTTATATGAAACTTTCCTCATAACTCTTATAATTCCAATACACTTCAACTGTAGTAGCAGAATGCTAATATTTCACTTTGCTATAAACTCAGATCTGTATTTCAGACATCTAATAAAAACCATCATCAAAATTTGAAAAATTATGAAAAAATGTTAAGTTTAATCAACAACAAACAACCCAATTAAAAAATGGGCAAAAAACTTGGACAGTTCACCAGAGTATATTCAAATGGCCAACAACTACATGAAAAGATGCTCAGTGTCAACAGCCATTAGGGAAATGCAAATCAAAACCACAGCGCGATACCACCTCACCCCCATTAGAATGGCAATAATAATAATTTTTTAAAAACAGAAAACAAGAGGTGTTAGAGAATGTGGAAAAATTGGAACCCTCACCCATTGATGGCAGGAATGCAAAATGGTACAGTCAATGTGGAAAACAGTCTGGCAGGTCCTCAAAAGGTGGAGATATGACCCAGCAATTCCAATCCTAAGTATATACCCAAAAGAAGCGCAAGTGGGAATGCAAACAGAAACCAATGTTCATTGTAGCACTTTTCACAACAGCCAAAGGTGGAAACAACCCAAATATCCATCAACAGATAAACGGATAAACAAAAGGTAGTACGCACATACAATGTAACATTACTCAACTATTAAGAGAAATGAATTCTGATGCATGTTATCATATGAATGAATCTTGAAAACATTATGCAGAACAAAATAAGTCAGTCACAAAAGGACAAATACTGTTGACTTCACTGATATGAGATAAGCAAATATATAGAAATCAAAGCTTATTAGTGGTTACCAGAGGTGGGAGGGAGGGGGAAGAGGGAGTATTTGCTAGTAGGGCACGGAGTTTACATTAATGGTGGTAGAATGATTAGGAAAATGATAGGGATAAGGGTTGTGCAACATGAAGTGTAATCAATGTCATTGAATTAAGTGTGTAGAAATGATTGAATTTAATGAATGTTTTGCTATGTGTAAAAAAAAAATAGTTAAGTTTAAGATGGTAAATTAAAATAGAAAACCAGGACACTAAAATACACTATAAAAAAACCAAAGCAAACCCACTGCTGTTGAGTTGATTCAAACTCACAGCGACCCTATAGGATAGAGTAGAAGTACCCCACAGGGTTTCCAAGGAGCAGCTGGTGGATTTGAACTGCTGACCTTTCGGTTAGCAACCATAGTTCTTAACCACTGAACCATCAGAGCTCCAAAATACACTATAATTTTTTGAAATTAGATTCCATTTAAATAATAGTATTATTTTACTTCTCTACATGAAATGATTTTAACTAAAATACCAGGGGTAATATTTTCATGGAATTTATTTAGGCTAAGTAGTGCCTGGCTATTGCAAACAATTAACGTCCTTGGCTGCTAACCAAAAGGTTGGAAGTTCTAGTACACCCAGGGGCAGCAAAAAATCAGCCATTGAAAACCCTACAGAACACAGTTCTGCTCTGACACACATGGGGTTGCCATGAGTTGGAGTTGACTTGATGGCAACTAGTTTTATTTAGGATAAAAACTCTTAAACAACCAGGACTACTGTAATAAACTGAAACCCTTCTGACTAAAAATATACCATATCATATATCACAGACTAATACTCACTTGGTTCTCACAACACACCACGCCTCCTCTAAAACGTAATAATTCACATGTAACTCCAACAATTTATCTCTCACTTCTTTGGCGGATTTTCGACTATATGTGGAATAAACTATTTTTGTCCGGGCCCTTTAAATTCAAACAACAAGTTAAAAGATTTTAAAGTAAATAATAGAATGGATGAAATAGAATTTGCTAGCAAATTAAAATCTCAGTGTTCACTGGATGAAGTGTTGATATATATGACTCAAAATAGCAGAAATTATTTCTGGATAGCACTTTCCTAATTCCTACTCATTTTTTGCAAGTGCTAAAACTTACAGCAGTTTAAATTTTCATACACAGCTAGTTAGTGTATAAATTAGTTTAGAGTTGTACTGGGTGGCAGGATAGTAGCTCAGGATATAAAATTTCCTTTGATAATTCACAAAATAATTAATGTGCTCGTGGAATAAACTTAGATAGAGGCAGAATGTGGTGAAAACATGGATATCAGTAGATAATTTCATACACAGAAGCTCTGAAAACCACACGTTGAGGCTGAATGTAGTAAACAAAACATTTACACAATGGGCTTCTATAGTCTCAAGGCAAGGGGAAAAAGCACCTTACCAAAAGCTTGAGAAACAGGGAGAAATGTGGCATAACAGATAATTTGGTACTAAAGGGAATTCTTATGAAATCTTGATCAACTTATGCATTAAATGTAACAAGATTTCAAGCATATAGGATGCTCAATCCTCACAACTAGACATAAAACTAAAAATAATTTAAAATGTTACTGCTAACAACACGTTACTAGAGGGAGCAAAATAATTTTTAAAAACCACTCATTTCAGAAAAATCAAAACTTCCAGATCTGAATGGAAACTGGCGTTCTCACAATCAGCTAGCAAAAGAACACCTTAAATTTCATGTAATTTTTCTATGTTAAAAAAAAAAAAAAGCTAGTCATACAGTCACCAGTAAGATCTAGGACAGGTGCTCAGTTCTGCGCTTGTGGAGTCTAGAGCAGGGGTTGGTTTGGCAAAGTAGAAACCTGGGCCCAATCCAGTCCACCTCCTATTACTACTACTGAGGAATTTTATTGGAACACACGAACATACCCCCCCCACACACATAAACACACACAACACACACACACACGCTAGTGGTAAATATGTGATGTATTTTTCTCTTTGAGAAAAAGGATTTTTACTTTTTTCAGTTTTCAGAGATTTATTAAGCCTGCTCAAAGTGATCAGATAAATATTATAATTTCTGGATAGGTATGATTTTTTTTACTTCCAGCATGAATATAAGTATGAGGGCATATAAGTATATGTGTGTGTGTATAACACTTTCTCTATTCCTAAAAATAAGCAGTAAGTGAGGCTGGTGGAAATATTTAATTGGTTGCCAACCTCAAGTCTGCATCCTCGTAATGTGGGTGATTGACAATGGGGTGAAGCGTGGACAGTTTGACACTTGCCATTGTGGGCATGGCGCCTGCAAAAACAGCATCTGAAAAACAAGATCAAATTCCTTAAAAGAACATTTTAAAGAAAACCAAAGTTAAAACTAATCTTTAATATTTGAACCAACATTAAGAAAGATGAGGTATATTTAAACGATAACCATTGGATTCATTCTTTATATTCACTCAGTATGTATTAATTATTTACTATAATAATAGTTAACTTTAGTTTCATGTTATCTTAGTACCAGAAAGTGTGCCAAATATTTTTACAAAATCATCTTTGCACAACTACTCTATGAGGAGGGTTCTATATTAATCTTATTTATAGATAAGGACACTGAGGCATGGCCAAGTGGCTTACTTGCTCGCACAGCTAGGAAGTGTCAAAGCCCACCCTAATAAACACTTCACTACAGCCTCCCGCCATGTTGAAGCACTATGCTAAGAGACAGTACTACAAAGGCACAGAGGACTAGAAAGAATCACAGAATTTTATATCTTGTTCCAATAATTACAAATACTAGGAAAGAAGAGATCGTTATAAAGGGCAAGTCTCATGGCACATTATTTTAAGTGATTTTTAATGGATTGTGAATTATAAGCCTGAGGACATGTTGGAGTAAAGCAATGTTTTCTTCCCTCAGGTTGTCTTTAACTATTCATAATTCAGTTTCGTTAGTTTCCATTTAACTTTATATAATTTATACTTTTCACCAAATCATTTCTTTACTTGCTAATAGTGCTTTTTGGAATAATGGCATGTACAGTTATACTGCCCTTTGGTAATAACCAGGGATACTCTCTGGCTTCAGTTTCAGTTTTGTCTCTTGGAAGACCAAAAGACCAAGTGCTTACTTTCTGCCACTTTTGTGTAATCAATGATCATATAATTGTGAAGGTTATTATCATTTTTAAACAGCACAATAAAGTTAGTAATAAGAATAAGGCACGCTATTCAGATTTACTGTAATTTACTTTCAAATATAACTAAGCATTCTAAATGTATCTTTTAATGAAAATCTCTTTATATGCCTTAAATTTGGAAACATGTTATTCAGTTAAGTAGAAATGTCTATTATTGAGAGATTCAATAATTAATGATGACAAGCTGTTAGGCTACAGTAGTGGTTCTCACCCCGGGGTGATTTTGCTCCCCAGGGGATACTGTCCATGTCTGGAGACATTTTTGTTGTCAAAACTGGGGGAGGGAGTAGGCAGAGATCAAGGATGCTCTTAAACCCCCTGCAATGCACAGGACAGCCCCACAACAAAGGATATCTGGCCCAAAATGTCAAGTTGCTGAGGCTGAGAAACTGTGGGCTAGAGGGACCCAAAGCCCAGGGTCAAGATCATCCAGAAGAAATTAGGTATGCCTGTTTCGGTGCTATTAATTACTTTTGTGTGTGGCCTTTTTAGCTATGGTCTTGTACCTCCCACCCAGGTGACTGTGGATAGAGCGATTGTGGCCTACCAAGGGGATTGGTCAATTTTTCCTTAAAAAAGAGCCAATTCTAGAGCAGAGGGGAGGAGCCTGCCACCACCAAGGAAGGAGAGACCAGCAGAAGAGAGCCAGCAGCAGCAGACAAAGAGGTGGGCTTCCCGGCCCACGGAGAGAAAAAGCTGAGTGCCTTTGGGCAGAGACTGAGGCCCAGGGAGAGGCGTGCCTGGGAGCCCGCCTGGGAAGAGGCTATCCTGATGGAAGAACTGTATCTTGAGTGTTCCTGAGCCTGAATTGTAACTGTTACTTCCTCATAATAAACCTCATAATCTCGAGTATGGTCTGTGAGTTCTGTGTGGCCATTGCAATGAATTAACAAACCCAGCAGAGAAGTAGAGAGTGCTGTGTGAGGGATGGTAGGTGTCAGAATTAGTAAAGATGGCAGAGAGAAGAGGTTTGTCTGGCTTCCGCCTCATGGGAGTCAGCCTTGCGCTGCTGATCTTGGTTCTCCTTCCCCCTTGTGGGGTTAGAGGAGGTCAGACACCGCCCCCAAGTCATTTTCACACCAGTCCAACAAGAAGAGCTAGAATCACTGAGGAGACATGATTTATGGAAGAAAGAGGGGGAGAAATACTGCCTGGCTTCTCCTTTCCTCTTGGTTATTATTTGTTGTTGAGTTGGTTCCAACTCATAGCGACCCTAATGGACAGAGTAGAACTGCCCCACAGAATTTCCAAGGAGCAGCTGGTGGATTTGAACTGCTGACCTTTTGGTTAGCAGGCAAGCTCTTAACCACTGTGCCACCAGGGCTCTTTCCTATTGGCTGGAGTTAATGGGAGTTATCGTAGAAGAAGTTGCCAAACGTAAGCTCTCTCTACCAGGAACCCAAAACAAACACTGAACCAGAGAACGTCATAAGAAAAGATTTAAAAAGCAAGTACATTTTAAAGCTTTGGAAAAAACAGCTGTAACTGGGGAGAGGCAAAGGAGAGTAAAGGGAGTGCCTACCTCCTGCTCCTGCAGGGCAAAAGTCATTTGGGAATTAATTTTAAATTTTTAATTAAACTAGCAGCTCTAAGTGATGAGGCACTGTCATCCATACCCTTTGACAGCCAAAGATCAAATATCTGAGTGGAATCTTATAAAGATTTACCTTAGTTAATGATGGCTAATTAGTAAAATGGTGTCTATCAACTAAGCGAGAAGAAACCAAATCCAGGAGTCACAAGATAAATTCAAACAAACCACAATGAAGAATTTCTGTCAGAGAAAATTACTACACATCAAAAAGTCTTGGATAACACTATAGACTACTTACAGAAAGTATTGTAAAAAAAAGAAAAACCTGTTGCCATCAAGTCAATTCCGACTCATAGTGACCCTATAGGACAGAGTAGAACTGCCCCATAGAGGTTCTAAGACTATAAATCTTTACAGAAGCAGACGGACACAACTTTCTCCCACAAAGCAGCTGCTGGGTTTGAATTGCGGACCTTATGGTTAGCAGCCAAGCACTTAACCACTGCACCAGAAAGTACTGTAGAATATACTTACTCTCTGGAAAGTTATTTAAATATAAAATAAACATCTATATGCTTGAGGTAGTTTCAAATAAAGAGAGAAATTTTTAAAAGTAAGCTACAAAGAATATTTTGGACTATTTAAAGTGGAATTTAGACTAATCCCTTTGAAATAATTTAGAGAAGAAAATAGAACGTCCAAGATATTTTTAATCCCTCTGCACCTGACTGGTTTTACACCGAGTTAAAACAGGTAGTTAGCAATGACAGAAGTGATAGGAGTGCCAGTAAATTTCTCATGACCAAAATTATCTTCTCCAATGACCTGTTTCAAGATCTGAAATTTTGTCATTAAAGATTGATTTCTTCGATTTATCGCTGTTCCAGTTAAAACACAGTAATGATCACTGAGAGTTATAGCACATAACTTATGAACAGTCATTAATTTCTTGATGTTAATTAAATTATTTTTGACAGTTACCTAAGAAGAGTTTAAAGAGGACAAAAAATTGCCTTTTGAAAGGATTTGATTGGACACTACAATGACCACCTATGAGGGTACAAATGACTATGCATGCGTGTATCTTAAAATTTCTATATTATAGATTTTATGTATTATATATATAAAATAATAACTATATAATGTGTAAGTATATAGTTATATAAGTATGTAATATATGTAAATGTGGGTATACATATATAACTAAATAACTAGATACCTGGTCTGGTATTGTATTTGATCCATTGTATAAGTTCTTCCTGAGGCAAATTATTAAATTCTCCTATTATGCTCCATTGATTATGGAGGTTTGCACAACCTTGTATTGACATCACTGTTAGAATGCCAAAGATAACATTCTCAAAACGAACTCTGTAAAAAAGCCAGCCAAACAGCTGAAATGAAAGAAACCATTTATTTATAATTCATTTACAAATCATTTATTTATAATTTGTGAAGAGTTCTATCTAGTCAATAATAAATTATCACTTTGGTGCTTAAGCTAAGATAGATTAAACCAAACCAAACCAAACCTGTTGTGGTCGAGTCAATTCCAGCTCATATCGACCCTACAGGATAGAGAAGAACTGCCCCACAGAGTTTCCAAGAAGCAGCTGGGGGATTTGAACTGCTGACCTTAACAGCCATAGCACTTAACCACTGCGCCACCATTACCATTTGATAATATCATTACACTAACATACGGAATTATCATCACCTATAATTTAAAAACAACAAATCTTTTGGGCTTGCAAGGTCCAGTTAAAACTGGAGCTTTCTCTCCTGAAAAGAATTAAGAAATATCTGATCTTTTAAGTACTGATTTACTGCCAGGGATTACAATTAGTAAAGAGCAATTTTGAAACATCCTAGAACTAAATCCTTTAACATTTAGCCAAATGTTAAATGGACATCTTGAATAACAAGGGGAAATCCCACTGGACTGACAAGTATGTTCCTCTCAAGAAAATAGTCATTATGATATCCTAAGAAAATATACTCATAATCAAAATTAAATAAAGTGTTTCTAGAAGTGTCTTGGTCCCAACATTCTAGCTACTTTGTCTAGCTCTTCTACATATTAGTTGCGCTAAAGGAACCCCAAAATTGATGACTTCTCCTAAGTACTCCCTAAGCCAAATAGGACGATACTAGAGACTCACTGCACCTACTCTAGAATTGGAGCCCTGGTGGCGCAGTGGTTAAAAGCCTAGCTGCTAAACAAAAGGTTGGCAGTTTGAATCCACCAGTTGCTCCTAGGAAACCCTATGGGGCAGCTCTATTCTGTCCTATAGGGTTGCTGTGAATCAGAATAGACTCCATTGTAATGGTTTTTTTTTTTTTTTTTACTCTACTATTGCAAGAGCACTTCAGGATAGTTTTGATGGGCCAGGAAATTCTTGCACAGACCTGAACCCCAAATGTTTGCGGAAAGGATGCTAACAGTGGGGAAAGTATGTCTCATCACCTATCATAGAAATATCTGTTAAAATCTATGAATAATTTTCAAAGCTACTTGTAGTTGCTTTTCTTACTCTATAGTGGATCATGAACTAATAGTTTAAATCATTTCAGTTATTTAAGTAAAATCACTTAGTGTTTTTATATTTTAGACTACTCAGCAAAGCCATCGTAACTACACTATAGTTGCTATAGTTGTAGCTACAGGAGAATGAATACCTTACCCGTCGAGAGCAGATCAAGGAGGCCATAATACACATGTGAGGTGTCAAAAACAGCTTCAGCCTCATAATTAAAATGGCAAGGGCAGTAAATGCTAACAACTGCAACGTGTGAAAAACCAGCTATAACAACACAAAATAAAACAAAATGACATTTTCACTTGATATATTTTAAAATTAATAAACATGAAATGCAGTAAATTGAAACTGTTGTTGTTCATTAGGACAAGGATCTTTTCACTTAGTAATGAGTATATTTTTATTTTTATTTTTATTGTACTTCAGGTGAAGGCTTACAGAACAAATAGTTTCTCATGAAACAGTAGTACACATATTGTTTCATGACTTTGGTTAATGACCCCACAACATGTCAACCCTCTAACTTCTCAACCTTTTTTTTTGGTGAAAATACACATAGCCAAAGATACACCATTTCAAAAATTTCTACATGCACAGTTCAGTGACATTGACTATGCTCTTCCAATTG